TTTAGAAGAACACTAAAGCCCTAGATATTCAGGGCCTGTGCTTCAGCCTGGTGAAGCCCAGTATCCAAGAGGGAGCCCTCCTAGATTAAAACTCGAGAAGTGGCTTGGAAGCACTGTCTGTTTAGCAGCTGCAGGCCTATGCCAGTGAGGGGCAGGGCTGAAAGCTGGCTATGAATGTTGGGCATGCAGGTCCTTCTCCTCCTGGATACTTTTTTCCTGCTTCAAAAATGCAACAGTTAGCTGAAGTGTCAGAGTAAAAGAGCACTGCCGGTCTGGCTACATGCATGTTGGAGCAGTGTAGAGTGGTGAAGGCTGTTTGCAAGCCAGCGAGGGCCCTGAAACAAACTGTGCCACTCCACTGGGGACCAAGGAGGAGCCAAAGCAGGTGAGGGAGGGGCATGCTGGCTGCTGCCTAGTCACGCCACTTCTGCTCAGGGAAAAATGAGCTGGACAGGCGCTTCTCATCTGCCTCAGGTCCAGGGTTGTTCCTGTCTTTTGCTTTTTTTTCCCCTCTCTCCTTTGGATTCCCAAGTAAAGGACAGCCCTAGATGTCCAGAGCAATGGACAGGTACTTACTTTCTTGTAATCTTGGGATCAAGTCCAGCGGTCTGTAGTTTGCAAGCTGCAGAGCTGGGCTGGGCTGGGGACATGCCTCCCATTCCATTTTGTTAGCTTCTGGAGTAATCAGGTGAAAAGGGATGAGATTTTCACAGTCAGCCTCAAACTCTGGTTGGATCTGAAGAGGTCCAAATAGTCTTGGCCACTTCAGGACCTGTGACCATATGAGTGAGGTAGTCAGGAAGAAAATTCCATCGTGGCGGAGGTCTTCAATGCTAAGCTATGGCAATCAACTTAAGAGTAGGCTCAGGAATGGTGGTCTAATCCCTGTTTTTTCCAGGTCTTTCATTAAGTTGGAGGTGGAGTCTCTATGCTAACCAGCCTTGTCTTTTAACCATCTGTAAAAGGGGGCTTCTAGAAGTTATTGTTAAGGAAAGTTCAAGGTGTAGCCTTATAGGCAGAGTACACAAAGGCATCTATCCATCCATCCACCCATCCACCCTTGCTTCCTCCCAGGCATCCACCGGGGCTTCTGCACTCCTTTGGTGAGCTATCTCTGAGCAGATCCTTGCAGATAGAGATGAGTCACGATTTCTGCTTCCAGGGACTTCTAGTTTCATTGGGGCCGCCCATCCCGTGAATATAGTGGCCAGCAGTAGTTCAGTCTGGGTTGTTGGGGCAGCTTTCACCAAGGAAACTGGTTTGAGGTGCCAGATGGGGAGGGAAAGGAGGGACGTCTCAGGCAATGGGCATGACAAAGGTCCAGTGGGGTGTGGGGTTTGGAGTATTTAGGCTGAGTGTCCTGACTGAGATTTGGCAGGACCAGGATTGAAGCTGTGGGTGGGGGTTTCTGAGCCAGGGTGGAGTGTGCTGCCGGATTCTGCTTCAGGTGGGTGACTCAGTGGGGCAGGGAGGGGCAGTGGGCATCACTGGGCAGGCCCAGGCAGGAGATGGGGCTGCTGGGATTGATATACTGCTTTGTCCTGTTCCCCCCAGGAGAATGCATCTTCTCTCTCTGCCCAGCTCTCCTGTCTTTTGGGGGGTCAAGAGGCCTATCCTACCCAAATGTGAAGCCGAGCAGCCTGGCCCTTGTCACTCCCATTCAGTCACGGGAAGGAGCAATACTATCATTTGCATTTAAAAACCTTTATCTCCCCGCATCTCCCTTTAATAAGAGCCAATTACACCTCTGCCCCAAACTGCAGGTTGCCTGCCTGTCATGGACTTTCATCCTGTTTGGGGTGGGGAGAAACTGCTCCTTTAAATGTCACATTTAGCATATGCAAATGAGGAGATAATTGTCCCTAATGGAAAAGGAACTCACCTGCTTGCTGTGAGTTCCAGACAAAGCAGACATTGATGAAATGGGCATCCGGGTGAGCTCAGGGGTCTGCTCTCTGTCCTGCCTCAGCCGGTGCCCCTGGCCTTGCCTACCCCTCTCCCTCATCTAGAAGATGGCAGTGCCAGTTGGAAAGTGACATATTTAGAGATCTTTCTTTTATTTAGCACCAGGCCTAGAGGGTGGAGAGACTCGTTCAAGGTCAGAGGCTGGGCCCAGCTTCAAGGCAAATCAAGGTGGAAGTGTGTAGCAGCCCACGGGCCAGGAAGTGAGTCCCAGTAGTTGGGTGATTCTGCAGCCAGGCAGACAGGACTCGAGGCAGCATTGGGGTCTAGTGCGTTCTGGCACTGCATCTCCTCAGGGGATGATGGTTTCCAGTGTGGGAGATGTGCTTGGTAATCTGGAGGCTGGGGCTGGCAGGAGCTGGAGAGGGCAGGAGCTTTGGAGACCATCTTAGCCGCTGGCCTAGGAAGTGTCATCTCTCTTCATTTTGTTACAGGCAGCTGAGTTAGTTAGAAATATTATAGGCAGTGAGACAGGGCAAGGTCCTCAAAGGAGCCAGTGCAGAAGCCCAGATACCTTGCAACTGTGAGGGGGAGACAGACACTTTCTGCTGTGGGCCAGGCCTCAAGACAAAAGATCAAACAAATGCATGCTAAGGACTGATATTCTAAATAGTTCCCTATCACCTTGAGGAAGCCAGGAGCCACCCTCCTAACCTGCTAGCGAAGAGTCATTGCTCTCTAAAAATGCATGCTTCCTATGTGACTCCCTTCCCGACTTGTCCCCAATTTAATCAATTTTACCTGAACTATTTTTTTTCCTTTTTTTTTTGGTACAGGGGATTGAACTCACGACCACCATTTACAAGGCAGGCGCTTATGCCACTGAGCTAAATCCCCAGCCCCTTGTTTTGTTTTAGTGCCAGAGATCGAACTCACGACCTTGCCTTTGCCAAGCAGGTACTTATGCCACTGAGCTAAATCCCTGAACTATTAATCTTATTGGCTAACTATAGTTCTGTCCTGCTTTATGCCCATCTGCCTTGTGAGTTCCCAATTTTCTCACCTTGAACCCATTCCACCCCATGGTTTTACTCTATAAAAGTCCCTGGAAAAGACAGAGTCCTTGGCAACCCGCTTGGGACCCCTTCTGTCTCTGTCAGACAGAAGCTTCCTTTCTCTCAATAAATATATTCTAATCTTAATCTCCATTGTTCCTAAAATTCATTCTTTGATTTTAGAGAAGACAAACTTAACGACATAGTAGGTTGGGAGTTTCATTCTCCTGTATCACTTTCTGGTTATGTTCATTTCAAAACCAAGAGCAGAGGTGGGATGCATGCAGAGGGGTGAACTCTCTGTCACAGGCAACACACAAGCACAAGAGCCCTCTAAGTGTGCCATGGTCAGAGTGGGGATTTCTGGGAGGAGGGAAGCTTTCTTTGAGAATGAGTCCTGCCTGGCCCGCCTTCAGGATTTGAGCAGGAATTCACAGAACCTAGAGATACAGCCTGACCTGCTCCAAGAATCCTGTTCTCCAGTTCTAGAGTCAGGGTTAGGATTGTCCCATCCTGGATCCTGCTTGGCCTCAGAGCCCAGTCCCCAACCCTGGGGAAGCATTGGTGCTGTGGAACTGGAAGACCTGCAGCGGAGTCCTGGACTGTCCTCTTAAACATCAAGTCCCCTGGGGGTTGCACATCCTCAACAGTGGACTGGACATTGATTGCCACAGCTGCCTCCTTCTGGTGTCAGATGGACACTGCCAAAAGGCATACATGAGGCCTTGCATGTGGAAGGGACTCTGTAGGGACTCGTTTGACAAATCACCTGCTCTGTTCCCTGCCCCTTACCTGTGGAGGGGCCCAACTGCTGCTCATGGTCTACACACCACTCCTGTGCGGCTGCCCTGTTGCCTCTTGCTGGGTCCCCCAGATGGCCAGCTTAGCTCAGCCCACTTTGCTGCTGGCTGAGTCAGGAGTGCTGGTGACTTTGGAGATGTGACACTAGAAATCTCCAGTCATCTTTCCCAGATTTTCTGAGGAGTCTCAGAGGATAAGCAACTTACTCTGGGTCACACAGTGAGGTCAGGGCTCAGCTGACTCTCTCCAACCTCAATGGCCTCATGCTTCTGTTGTCATAGTGGGGTACATCTCTGTGGGACATGGATGGCACAGCTACTCCAAGCTGAGATCATGGCCCTTGATACCCAGGCAGTGTTGGTCACAGACAAGGAACAGAAGATGGGACTTTGATCTGATGTGGGCCAGAGCCAGAAATGCACAAGTGCTTTGTTAAATTGCTGAGACCGGGGATTAGTTGTTCCTGCAATAAATTTTAGCCCATGCTGGCCGATTCCAGAGACCATGCAGATAACTTCAGTATGAAAAAGGGTGAGTTTCAGGCCCTGCATAAATAGGGGTAGTGGATCTCACCAGAAGCTGCAGGCAAATGCATAGACCTCAAAACACCATGCTGGGTCAGTAACACCCATTTGTTGGTGACTCAGTCAGGGCCAGTGATATAGCTTTTTCTTCTGCGGGTCTCAAGGATGGCAGGTATGGGCCTCAATGGGTACCCTTTGTACAGTGTGAAGACTTCTAGGATGTGCAGACAAGGGTTGGACCAGAATTCATCTCCAGTTTGCTGAAGCCAATGGCCAGGCAAGTAACCAGGGCTCAAAGCCCTGACTGCAGTGGCTTTCTCTGATGTCTCCTGGAACGGGGGAAGCCCCAGGTGCGATAGCACAGGGAACGGCAGCCTTCTTGCCTCATCTGGAGGCCCACAGCTGGGCCAGCTGTTTCTGAGGGAGCTGCTGGGTGCTGGAAGGAAGGCCAATGGCTGGTGGACTGTGCTGGGTCACGGCGTGAGTCCTGATCTCCCGTGAGAACATGGAAGGAGCTTCCTCCCAACTCTGGGCTCTTCAGCCTGTCTTCAAGGCTGCCCGGAAGCTGACTCTCTGTGATTAATGTGCACTTCCCCTCCTCAGGGACCTGCGCTGAGGGATGGATGGGATGTGGCTTTGGCCATTGTGGGCAGCACTGGGGTTTGGGGAGCCTTGGAGCGTGGGCTGCAGCTGTTTACTGTGAGAATCTCACTTGCAGATGTGATACTGTTCGGTGGGACCCAGTGAGAAGCCAGTGCCATCATCCTTCCTCGATCAGGCTGCTTTATGCCTGGAGAAGTACTCATACCTGTAGTCTTCTCTCAGATCTGCTCTGCCTCCAGCCGTCTCCAGAGGTTGGTGAAGTTTCTTCCTGCCCCTGCTGCCCCTGCATGTGGATCTCCAGGCCTCTGTTACTCAAGCCAGTGCGGTTTTGGTTTGGGGGTTGAAGCAACATTGGGCTCAAGCTCAGGCTCCAATTATCCTGGGCAGTGGAATTTGGAGCTAGGAGAGGCGAGGCTTGGAAGAGCTCTGAGCTAATGGAAAGAGGGAATTGTGAGCCCCTCCCTGCTTAGCTCATCTCGGGAGCTTGGCCGGCCCTCCCTCTTCCTAGAGTGCAACCCTGGGTTCCAGGATGTGAGCTCAGCTACATTGGGTGGAGGTCCTCCTTCTCCCTCAGATTCTTTCTGTACTTCCCCCACAGGGGCCTGTAAGAGCTCTCTTCGTCTGGAATGAAATGTAAAGGGTGGAAGCTGGGTGCCTCCTCAAGGTACTGGCTGGATGTGTTGAGATCAGAGAGTAGACAGGGCCTCAGTACACTGTCAGTGCTGAGCAGTTTTGTGCTTATTGACATGAGTAACTCATTCATTTCTCCTTTCATTCCTTCATTAATTTATTCATCTTCCAATCAAATCAATCGCCCATCCATTTATCATACATCCATCCATCATTCAGGCACTCATCCATCCACTCATCCATCCATCTATTACATTATGCAGTCATTGTCCTATCTATACAAGCATCTATCTTAGCATCCATTCAGCTAGGAATAAAAGCTATGTATCTATCCATCCATCCACTCATTTATCCATGAACCTATCCATTTATCTATCTATTCACCCCTCCAGTCACCCTCCTCTCTATCCAAACACCCATCTATGTGTTACCTATCCATCCATCCATCCATCCATCCATCCATCCATCCATCCATCTGTCCATCCATACCCATTATAATCTTGGTGAGTATTTGCTTTGGGTCAGCCTCTGTGATCATTGCTAGGATACAGAGGCAAACAGTTCAGTAGCTCTGTCCTGTAAGTATTCTAGGTCTGGTGACCAGATATTCATGTAAACACCAGTGTCTCCTCAACCATATCACATTATAGCAAACTTGAAAGTTGCTTCATGAATCCACCTCAAATGACCCCTCCGTTAGGCCACTTTTTCTGGATTAACCATGTGGCATGGGAACATGACAGAGGGAAGACAGGCCACAGGGCATTGCTGGGAGCTGTAGGAGGCTTTATGAAGGCAGAGCTCTGTAAACAACCCTGTAGCTGTGGGGCCGGAGGAGAAGAGACCCTCTAGAGAGTTAACTGGAGAGTCACACTGAGCGGTTGAAGAGGGCCTTGAATGCCAGGATGAGGCTCTTGATACCATGCTATAGACCCTGAACACCAGACAGCTGTGGGAAGCAAAGGCCAGGCCCTTTCACACGTGTGCTTTTAGAAGATCATTGAGGCAGGCAGAACTGGGTTTGGATCCAATCTGCCACTTTCTCATTTTGTGGCCTGGGATCTATTTCCTTTTCCTCAAAGAACAGCGAGTTAACCTCATTGGGCTGCTGTGAATTACAAACATATTCTGTCTGAGTGGTACCTGGCATGGTTCTTGACACATAGCAGGTGCCTGAAAAGCACCTGATTCTGGGCTCAATTGGGACCTGGCTGGAACTGGAGATTGGGATTTCTGCTGCTGGTTCCAAGTCACTGTGTGCTGAACTCACTTTCTCTCCATAGGCTTTTTTTCTTACCCAAGAAACTACCTCCATGACTTGTTGGAAGGAAGGGAGGGACACAGTGATGACAGAGCCTGGAAAGTTGTCTGGGCTGCAGACGCAGCGGTGGTACTCGATCCAGTTAACCAATGATGCCCTGGCTCAGGAAAGGTCTCAGGAACTGCATAGTGACCCAGGGGCACTGGCACCTGGCCACTTGAAACTCTCCACCAGTGTGGCTCCCAGGAGCAGCGGGCCTGGGCGAGACCTGACATGTTGATGTGCTCGGCAGCCCGCCTTGCTCAACGCCCTGGCTCAGGGCCACCTCTGCCAGCTGCAGGACTGGGGCTGTTGTCCACCACGCCTGCCTGACACTCTACCCTGACCTTGGCTGCTGCCCAACCTTGGATTCAGATGCACCAGGGGAGAGGTCAGAGAAAGATGTGTTTGAGAGAAGAGCTTCATCTTTAACTCCCCCTGCCCATCTGTGGGCAGCCGGAAATAGAGCAAGGAGGGCCACCATTGAGCCTCTGGGATATGACAATACTGGCCCCACAGGAATTGTCTGGAGGTCAAGTGAAGGTGGGGGAAGGAGTGTAACTTTGCAGAGTGTAACTCACCCATGGTTGGTGCCTAAGGTAACAGTAGAGTCATACCTACCCAGCACTTGGCCTTGCTCTCAGCAACAGCAATACAACAATGTCCTTCAGCAGAAACAGAAGACAGATCTGCAGGAACACTTTCCAGAAGGACATACAGGCTTCTGGGAAACCAGGAACCAGAGAGATAATGGCAGTAGCTGAGACCCGCATGCCATCTCTTGTCATCCAGCTGTTGGTGAGCTGCACACACACACACACGCACACACACACACACACACACACACACACACACATAGGACACAGGACACAAATATGCATTCAGATGACACAGACACTGTGTTAGTTTTCTGTCACTGTGGCAAGATACCTGAGAAAATCAACTTAAAGAAGGAAAGGTTTATTTGGGGTAAGTTTTAGAGGTTCAGGGTATGCTCAGTTTGCTCTGTTGTTTGCAGGCAAAGCAGACACATCATGGAGGGAGCAAGTGGTAGAGGAAACTGCTCATCTCTTGGCAACCAGGGAATAGAGAGAGACAGACAGAGACAGAGAGAGACAGATAGAGAGAAAGAGAGAGAGAGACAGAGAGAGACAGAGAGAGACAGAGAGACAGAGAGAGACAGAGAGAGAGACAGAGAGAGAGAGAGAGACAGAGAGACAGAGAGAGACAGAGAGACAGAGAGAGAGAGAGGAGTCTGGTCTAGGGGCAAAATGTACTTTTCAAAGCCATGCTCCTATCTTAACTAGGCCCTACCTCTGAAGTTTCTATCTCTCCCCAATAATGCTTTTGAATTTATGTACCTGTCACTGGATTACTATTGCTGATGAAGTCAGAGTCCTCCTGGCACAATCACCTTTCAAAGCCCATCAGCTGGCAACCAAGCCCCCAGGAGATATTTGAGATCCCAGCCATAACATATGACACAATGGATGGTCCACACGTATCTCCAGGGTTCACACACATGTATAAACAGATGTGCCAACCTGAGTCTGCAAGCCACACCCTCACAATCATCCCCTTCACAGATGATGTAGTTTCCTGGGTGAAGGTACCCTACTTACTTGTGTTGACCCTGATCCTCCTGCAACAGAACATTCCAGAATACTCTAACCTGGTAAATTTGAAGCTCTTTAGATCTGGAGAAGGAGGGAGATATTGTGTAGACTGCTCCTGTCCACCAGCCTGACCTGCTTACTTGGAGACAGGAAAGCTGAGGTGCAGAGGGGCAGGGAACATGCCACACTAGCTCTGTGACCTTGTCTGAGTCAGGCTTCTTGTCACGATCTTGAACAGACCTCTTATAATCTGTCTCTTCTCTATTTTCTGCTCTGGCCTCAGGACCTAGAAACCCCCATGGTCACCCAGCTCCTCACTGGATTTTCTTTCATTTGGGACAAGAAAGACTTGAAATCTCCACTGTGGAAGCTGGAGATGATGGATGGGCCATCTAGCAGTGGGGCCAACCAACAGGCCAGAAGGACACTGCTATTCCTAGAAACTGCTGTCCAAGGCTGGTTTGCTTCTAGCTCACTGGCATGTCCTGCTCAGAGCCTATGGGTGACAGTCTTTGCAAGAATATTTGATAGCTGAGAAAAAATGATCACCCTTCAAAAAGGACTGCAGAATCAGAATTAATTGATGTTTAATTGAATATGTGCATAACGTAGCATCATGTCAACTTGTTAAATTGAACTCATCTTGGTGCCTATGAAGTTATATATAAATGACATCCAAAGTGGGTCATAGGTGCATCCTGATGTGTTTATTTTGATGCGCTGTGACATTCTACAGCGAGAAGGTGGAGGGTTATGAAGATTTAAGACCAGCTCAATTGGAGTAGTGTGGATTAGGGATGCTGCCTACAGCTGAACTGTACCTTCTGATTGTCCTGCTGACTGACACCTGCAGGGGACCACTTTGGGCAGCTGAGTATTATGAGCGCCCTAGATAGATAAGCTGGGCTCTGGACTCCTCTGATCTGACACATTAGATTCTTTCTGACAATTGGGGACGCCCAACACTCATGTGGTAGCTCAGTGTGTTCTGGTCATCCCAGCCTGTCTCCTTGGGCTGAGGATGTGGGTAAGGGGAGGCAGGGCATCCTGGGGAAGAGAAAAATGGGAGGTTTAATCTTTGTTCTCATATTCAAGGCAACCCCAAGGCCCATGGTCAGAGCATTTGGGACACAGGAGCACTGGGTTTTGTGTGACTACAGGGAAAAATGACAGCTAATCTACTAAAAAACAGTATAATGTGGCTCACTTCTGCACAGGGCTAGGCCAAGGGCAAAGCAGTTTTAGGATCTTGAATTCATCTTGTCTTCACGCGGGGAGGTCAGGATTAGTTTACATGCATGGGGATGGGGCCAAGTAGGCTTAGGAGCACTGAATGAGTCAGGAACTTGCCGCTGAGAAAGGACAATTCTGGCCTGAGGCCAAGCCCTCCTGACTCCTGACTGAGTGGAACCCTAGCTCCACCCTCCCTCACGCCACCCGCAGAGCTATTGTGCCAAAAGCACAGATCATTCTAGACTCTGCATTTGTCCATGTCTGCCACCTCCACTAGAGGACCCCCTATTGCACAGCTAGTGTGAGACCCCTGCCCTTGTAGGGGCAAGTGGTAATGACAAGGGCCGTGGACTCTGTAGTACATCCTCTTTCCGGGGCTGAAACTGGAGCCACGTGACTGGTCCTGGCCAATAGGCTGTGAGCAATTAGATACGTTCCTTCCAGGTAAGGCAGAGCCATTTATCCTAGTGGAGCTGGGCTCCAGAGTTCCTGATTCCTCTGGCCCAGGGAGCCATGGATTTTTTTGTATTTTTAATTTGATGTGGGAGCAGTTGTGGGAATTTTACGTTTAGAATTTCATGAAACTTTTCATAGAAAGGGCCTCTCGAATTGCACAAGTTTTTACCCACAAAACCCGGATGTGCCCCTGTGGTCAGGCAGTTAAAGAATGTGTACCTCCTGATGCAGTTCTCTCTCATTCTGCAATGGCCTTGGAGGTCAGCCAAAGCCACAGGGTGAAGGAGAGCTGCCTGTAGGAAACGGGCCCTCATGTGAGTAAGGATCAGGCTGTCCTGGTGTCTTAGTGCATATTCTGTTCCTATAACAAAGTACTTTGGACAGGATAATTTATAAATAATAGATATTTATTTCATGGTCTCATCTAATCCTAATCATTTCTAGAAGGCCCCATCTTCAAATACTATAAATGCATAACTTTAAGGATTAAGTTTCCAATACATGAACACATTCAAATTATAGCATCTGGAAAGGCACTGAGATTTGGGGATGTATTTGTTACAAAGCATAACACACATTGATGACTCATTCACAGAGGAGAAAGAGGTTTAGGCTTTCTCATTGGGAGCGGGTAGTGTAGGTGCTCATAAAGATATGGTGGAGAGGTAGAGACTAGAACAATATGACCGATGGTGTGTGGACTCCAAATTCAGTGGTCTGAACCTGGGAGCCTTGTTTTAAATCCAGATATCCCAGAAATCACAGTGGTCAATGCTTCTCCCAGGGAACCCTCAGATCGAGGCGAAAGAGCTTGAGGGCTAAACTCACAGACTAGAGAAACACAGTGTGGGAAATCTGGGGGTAAATGAAAGTAGTACCCAAAGCTCATCACTCCCAAAGTTGACCTCATGGAAGGTCACAGGTCACTGGCCCTGGACAATTTCTTCTCTCAACTTGATGGGACTTGGGAACAGTTGATCAGGCTTGGTTTCTGAGGCTACTATTTCCTACCACAGCTCTGGAACCTGCGTGGTCACTTCTGAGAAAGGGGGACAGCAGTGGTTCTGGGCAGCAGGAGGCTGTGCTCTGGGGTTCTGACTCTGCCAATTTTTGGCTGCAGGGGAGAAGCTGCCTGTGTGCCAGAGAGGGCAAGTGGATGAGAGTTCTATCTGTCATCTAAAGCAGGGTTGTCCAGTCCCCAGAACTGAGTTATACAGCAGGAGGTTACTGGTAGGTGAGTGAGTGAAGTTTCAGGGGCAGATTCTCACAGGGGCTCAAACCCTCCTGGCAGCTCCAGATGTCAGGGATCTAAGTTGTCTGTTCCTTATGAAAATTTAATGCTGGGTGATCTGAGGTGGAGCTGAGGCAGTGATGCTAGTGCCAGGGAGTGGCTGCAAATACAGATTCACATCAGCAGAGAGCTTTGACTACACTAAACCTATAATAAACCAGTTGCTTGCAGAATCATACCAAAGTCCTATCAGTGAATGGCAAGTGACAATTAAGCTGCATTTGGTGGCATCTTTATAGGGGCAATGAGGTGATTCCCATTCTTCAAGCCTGCTTTGTGTAATATGTAATACCTGGCAATCTGACAAAGCCATGAAACCTTCAAAACTGCTTTGAACAACTACTGTGCTAAAAAAAATATTTAATTCAAATCTTTTGAGTTGAAACAAGTGAACATTAAGAACAGGAGCAATTATTGAAGGCTACTGCTTCATTAAATGTGTGTGCACTGAGATCATAATTGTGAGCGGCTAACTGTATTATTAAAGCTAAGAAGCCCTTTACTACTGGTGAGTTAATTCTGTCTGCTACTAAGGAGATTTCTGTAGTAAACTTTTAGAAGATGCTACAATTCAAAAGGTAGCAAATGTTCCTCTTTCCGTTAGCAGCAGAACTAGACAAATTGATGAAACATTGGGGAAAAATTGAGGCAAAACTGTTAGAGAACCAATGAGTCACAGTAGTATTCATGCCAGGTTTATGAGCCCACAAACACAGACAGGACAACAATGTTTGTTTCTGTATGATATGTTTTTCAGGAGGATGCACATGAAGATATATTACATATTCTTCTGTTACTGATCAACATCACAGCTGCAGAACTATTCAATGAATGATTAAATATCAGAGAAACTGAACTGGTCAGCATCAGCATATGTATGGACAGAGTAGCTACCATGAATGGATGGCTTTCTGGTTTCACTATTCTGGTCAAAAAGGTGACTTCCGAATGTGAGTCTACACACTGTGTCATTCAAAGAGGAATCTGAAAATGTGCAAAAAATGTCATCTGAATTTAACAGTATTTTGCAGAATGTGAATAAAATTATCAAGTGTATTAAAGAACATGCTCTCTACTTATATTTGTCTGGATAGTTCTTGAGCAGATTCATCCAGAACATAATGTTTTCTCTTACACAGTGCTAATGGCTTTCAAAAGGTAAATCACTAGCCAGAGGTTTTGAGTTATTAAAGTTGCTCCACAGATTTCTTTTAGAAAAACCAGTCACCATTGGCAGTAAATTTCAGGTACACAGAATAAGTCAAAAATTTGTTTACTTGTGTGACATATTCAACCTTTTCAATGAACTCAATCTACTACTTCAGGGAACAAATTACAAGTATGTTCAAGTCAGCAGATAAAATGAATGCATTCAAAGCCAAACTGGATTATGGGGTGGTGAGTGAACACTGGGATTTTTTGACAAGTTTCAAACATTAGGAGAGATAAGTACATGATCATTTATCTTAATTCAAAAGAACTTACAATTATATGTCAACCACAAAAGACTCCCAAAGTAGGAAGGATGCAGATATCTATAATCCATTTGTGGGTGAGCCAGGTGGATACACTTTGCCAAAATTGGACCAACTACTTGAGATAAAAAATGATGGTTATCTTGAAAGTGTATTTGAGGCAAATTTCAAATCACCAATACATTGTGGATGAAAGTCCAGGTGGAATATTATGAGACTGCCAAAAAACCACTGAAAAGTTTTTTTCCATTTCTGGCAAAGTATCTTTGTGAAACAACTATTTATTTTTTGGTAGTGACATCAACCAGAATGAGACTGTGAAGTAGACTGGACATAAGCAACACACTTTGAGTGTTACTGTCTCCCATCATCCCCAGATGAGACTATCTAAGACTAAATAAGCTCAGTGCTCTCACTGGTTCTGCATTGTAGTGAGTTGTATAATTATTTCATTATATATTACAGTATCATCATAGTAGAAGTAGAGTGCATAATAAATGCAATGTACTTACCCCCCCCAATTTGTGAGAAAATTTTCTTTCATTAAACCAGTTCTTGAAAAGTTGGAGACTGCTGATCTAAAGGCAGATTCCTCCTGCTTGTCTTCAAGCATGCACAGTGTAGCATTCAGTCTTCAACAGCTCCTGGGAAGAGCACGTGGGGCTGTGTCCTCTGTGTGTGTACTGAATCTCCCTTATCTACAGTTTTGCTCTCTGAGGTTTCAGGAACCCGTGATTGACCATGGTCCCTATATATTACATGGAAAATTCCAGAACAAAATCATAAGCTTTAAATCACATGCCACTCTGAATAACGTGATGAAATCTCATTGTTCTGTCCCATCCTTCCTGGAACAGATAGGAATCATCCCTTTGTCCAATAAATCCTTGCAGCATATGCTACCTGCCCCTAGTCACTTAGTAGCTAAATCAGATGACAGTCATAGTGTGGTGGTACTTGTGCCCAGGTAGCCTTATTTTACTTAATATTGGCCCTGAAGCACAAGACTAGGGATACCGGTGGTTTGCATATGCCAAAGAGGAGCTATAAAGTGCTTCCTTTGAGTGAAGAGGTGAAAGTACCATACGGAAGAGAGAGAGAGAGAGAGAGAGAGAGAGAGAGAGAGAGGCTACAGTCACATAATATTTATTACAGTATATTGCATTATTGTTCTATTCTATTGTCAATTATTATAAATCTCTACATGCACGTAATTGGTGAGTTAAATTTATCATAGGTTTTGTATGTCTCAAAACAAACATGATATACAAAGTCCAGTGCTAGCTCTGGTTTTAGACGTCTGCTGAGTGGAGCATTTTCCTCGTGTGCTGCATGTGTGTTCATGAGTGCCAAGGGGATTATGCTACCTGCTAGGGTGGGAGGACAACACGAAAGAGTTGAGGTGATAGACTGGCAGCACGCGAGGCTCTGTAGTAGCCTTCAGTACGTTATTTATCTTATAGTTTCTATTTGGCTCTTGCTCAGTACTTTTTTCTGCTTTTAGTTTGTTAGTGCTGATGCCACCTAGGTAAGGCTTTGTGGTAGTGGTGAAGTCTTCAGCCTAGAGGAGCTCAGCCTTGTGCTGACTCTTTGCCTTGTGCTGTCCTGGCCTAGCCTGTCCTCAGCCCCCCTCTTCTGTTTGTGCTGTTCCCCAGCTGTCAAGGCCTAAGTGGTTAGCACTGCATGAGCTGGGGTGGTTTGCTTTCTTAGAGGCTTCCAGGAGCTGAACTGTGCTCTGACCCATTCTGCCCCTGCCGCAGTTCAAGCACGCCAGCCCTGCTGGGTGTGCAGAGCTGCACTAATGAGCTCTGGCCCTGCAAAATGCCAGCTGTTGATGCCCTCTGCTCTCTCCTGCTGCTGGGTGAGCAGCTTGGCAACTCCCTTAGCTTTAGACAGCAAAGGCTGTTCCTCAACTGGAGCTCATCCAGAAAGCTCTCCTGGTTGCTGTGGGTCAGGTCCACTGGAAATGGAAGTGGAAGCATAGATTCCTGTACAAGTGGTGTTTGGAGGGGATTTTTCTAGAGAATTGGGGGAGGCAGTGAGAGAAGCAGGCTGGGAGGCACAGGAACCAAACATGACTATAAGTGCATGGCGTTCAGCCTTTGCTTCACCTCTTTCTGGGTAGAGGAGCTCAAGAGTGTGCACCTCCCAGAGATATGTCTCGGCTTGAAGCAAGATGGCTGGGGCTTAAACCCTGGCATCAGTAAGTCACCGGCAGAGGGCTGCCCCCTGGAGGGGTGGCAAATTCCTAGGCATTTTCAGGCAAGACTGCTTCCCTCTGCTGGAGAAGAGGCGGTGCATGTGTGGTTAGCAAGGAGCTCCCATTCTCTCTAGGGCAGGGAGGTGGCTCCATGGTAGAAGGCATCAGAACAGGTGCCTGTCACATCTGTGATACTCTCCTTGGCCATTGCTTCTCTCCAAGGATAACCTTGTGTTTGTCCTGTATTGAAGACTAGCTGGCATACTAAGCCTGGGAGCAACTTGACCTACTCTGTGCCAGGCCCTATTCCAGTATCCCCAGGGACCTCCTCCATCTGAGAACTGCCCAAGGCTGAGTTCTCCCAGCTCTGATTTCTGTCTGTTCCACAGCAGTGGAGGGATAGATTGGCAAGTGAATCTTTTCTTACGCAAAAGGAATTAGAAAGCACCACTTTTCTTGATATGGCTGAGGCAAGGTGTATTAGACAAGCCTGGTATTTTTCCCTTTTGCAAACTGCCAAGCAGAGGAGACAGCACAGAGAAGCACTCTTTCCTCCTGCTCCCCGCTGCCACTGCCTGCTCCCTCCCTGCTGGGCTGTCTCATCTGCAGTCCTGGCCTTGTAGCTACTGCTGGGGAAAACAGAAAACCACAGCTATGCGGCACCAAACAGGCCTGCATCATGTTTATGAAATGACAGAGTCCTGGGCTCATCTCCAAAGAGGCTGGGGATCCCTGAGGCAACTCAGACAGCCCTTCCATGTCTGAGGCTGGGATTCGGCGGCCAGGAGGGCGAGCAGGGCCCTTGGTGATCACTGTGTCCAAGTCTCTCATTCACCAGGAGGTTGAGAAATGGGAGCGGACTGGCTGACTGAGCCCTCAGACCTGGATTAGGACACATGGGTGGAAGATTGTGATCAAGGTCCCTGGGTGAGGAGAAGGGGTAGAGACTCACGTTAAGGTTCAAGTTCACATGTGACTGCCTTCAGCTTCTGCCTCCCTACTCCCCTTGTGTCGAATCAGCTGCTGGCTTTCAGCCTGAGTCATTTTCTCATAATGCACAAAGGAGGGACAGCAGGAGGATCATGTCCTGCTCAGCTTCTGAGCTGCACCTGGGGGAGTTCCACTTCCTCAGCCTCACACCTTGGAAGGTGCAAAGGGCTGAGCCCTGTGACCACGAGGGTGGGGGTCTGGAAGGTTAGGAGGGGTTGGGCTATGCACGGAGCTACAGGGCCTTTTCTGTCCTCAGCCCCACAAGAAGCCTTTCCCTATATATTCTCATCTGAGCACCTCATGGCTTATTTCTGCATAGCATCCGATGAACTTCTCCTCTTTTCATCCTGAAACTGCCATGCCCGTGTCCAGTTTTCTTCTCTCTCTGCCTGGGAAAGGAAAAAAGGCCAGCACTCTCTTTCCATTTTCCCTATGTGGTGCCCACCCCAGTAGGACTCTTGCCATGAGTATCTCTCTTGGGTGGCTCCGCCCTCTCCTCATCCATGCTGTCTGCCTGACTCTACTTCTCCAAGAAATCTGGTGACAAGGTGCACTTTGCTTCCAAGCCTTTCCCTACCTGGACACTAATTCCTCTCCGCTCATTGGCATTGAGGTAATCAGTGTGTGGTCTAAGTTTGCATTTGGTTCCTGTCCTGCATCTGACATTGTTGTTACTTCCTGTGACACCCTTTCTGGCCTTGCGATCTTTCTTTTTTGGGTCAACTGTCAAATTGTTCCTTAAATTCTGTCAATGCTTCTTCCTGTTTTAGGTCAAAAATGAGTATTTTTTTATTTCAAAATGGATTCTTCCCTTGCTTCCTTCTCTTGGTCCCTTCTTATCTAGGAAAGAAATTTGAAATAAGAAAGGCTGAATAATTTCCACAGGCTCATCAAAGTACACCAATGGAGACTTGAAAATCATGCTCAGACCACACCTCCCTCCCCTGCTCTGGATCCACACTGATGAGTCCCTAACAAGACTCCCCTCTTGAATGTGTCCTAAACTCCTAGTTGAAATCATTACTCCCTACCTGAAGCTGGTCATCTTCCTTACCAAGCTCTCCTCTGTTCTCGGTTGAAAGTATCACCAGTTTGCCCCAGTTAGCAGTCTGAGTCTCATTCTTTGGGCAGGTTGAATAATGTGCCTTTCCCGTAAAGTGTTGGTATAGAAATCTTTGGAGTCTGTGAAGGTTAAGTGACAAAAGAGACTTTGCAGACATGATGAAATTTAGGATTTTGAGACAGGAGATAAATTGATTATCTAGGAAGTCCTGATATAATCACAAGGGTCCTTAGAGAGGAGAAGGAATTGGGGAATTCAACCAAGAGGCAGCTTTGAGTTGCAGAGAGCTGACAGCCATCAGAGACAGGAGATCAAGAATGGTTTCTCTTAGATCAACTTTGCTGACAACTT